AAAAAAATTGCAAACCAATAATTATATAGCCAGCAAAATTGTCTCTCAAATATGATGATGAAATTAGGACATTTCCAGATAAAAGAAACTAAGGAAATTTGTAAAATCCAGACCAAACTTAGAAGAAATATTAAAGGGAGTCCTTCAGAAAGATAATCAACAACATCAGACAATATCTTGAGATTAGGACACAGGACATCATTAGCCAGGTAACAACTCAGATAAAGAATTCTCAAAAATAAAACAACACGAAAAGACTGAAAACGGAACCAGAGACGTCAATCTGTAAATGACGACAATGTCAAAACAAGAAAGAGGGAATAAATGGTGTAGTTATAGAACTTTCATATGGAGAGGAAGTCAGGGCGATATCAAGAAATAAAAGACTGGTTTAAACTTAGGAAGATAAAACTAAATTTCAAGGTAACCACAAAGAACGTTGACAAACTTACTCATCAGAATAAAAAAGAAGAAAAGCATACTCAGTAAACACAAAATCAACAATGAAAGAAATGAAAAGAAAATCCACAAACAAAAAGAACTCAGCACAGAAAATTAAGCGGAACAAAGAAACTGTCAATACCACAAAACAAAGTACAACAGAATGATGGCAGTAAACTCATACCTGTCAGTAATCACACTGAATATAAATGGCTTAAATGCACCTATAAAGAGAGTGGAAGAATGGATTAAAAAAAACACTATCCATCAATATGCCGTCTACAACAGACACACCTTAGATACAAAGACAAAAAACTAAACACAAAGGATGGAAAAAAATATATCAAGCAAACAATAACCAAAAAAAAAAAAAACAGGAGTGGCAATATTAATCCCTGATAAAATAGACTTTAAGGCAAAATCCACCATAAAAGATAAGGAAGGACATTATATAATGATTAAAGTTTCAATACACCAGGAGGACATAACCATAATAAATATATATGCACCCAATGACAGGGCTAGAAAATACATAAAACAAATTCTAACAGCATTGAAAAGAGAAATAGATAGTTCCACAATGATAATAGGAGACTTCAACATACTACTTTTGGTGAAGGACAGAATATCTAGAAAGAAACTCAACAAAGATACAGAAGATCTAAATGCCACAACCAACCAACTTGACCTCGTTGACAGATACGGAACCCTCCACCCAAGGCAGCAAAGTATACATTCTTTTCCAAAGCACATGGAACATTCTCCAGAATAGACCACATTTTAGGCCAGAAAGCAAGCCTTAATAAAACCGAAAACATTGAAATCATACAAAACATTTTCTCTGATGACGGTTCCATAAAAGTAGAAATCAATTACAGGAATAGCAAGGAAAAAAATAAAATACATGGAAAATGAATAATATCTTTCTTAAAAAGCCCTGGGTAATAGAAGAAATCAAAGATGGAATAAAAAAATCCTAGAATCAAATGAGAATGAAAGCGTATCTTACCAAAACCTTTTGGACACAGCAAAAGTAGTGCTCAGAGGCCAATTTATAGCAATAAATGCACACATCAAAAAAGAAAAAGGACCCACATCAAAACATTACCCCTGCAACTCGAGGTGATTGAAAGAAAGCAGCAAAAGAAGCCAGCACTCACCAAAGGAAAGGAAATGATAAAGATTAGAGCAGAAATAGAGAACAGAAAAACAGTAGAAAGAATCAACAAGACCACAAGTTGGTTCTCTGAAAGGATTAACAAAATCAACAAACCATTGGCCAAATTGACAAAAGAAAAACAGGAGAGGACACAAATAACCCAAATAAGAAATGAGATGGGTGACATTACAACAGAACCAACTGAAATAAAAAGGATCATTACAAAGTACTATAAAATTGTGCTCTAACCAATTTGAAAACCTAGAGGACATGGGCAAATTTCTAGAAACACACTACCTACCTAAACTAACACAAACTGAGGTAGAAAAACTGAACAGACCCATAACAAAAGAAGAAATGATAGAAAAGCTAATTAAAAAAAAAACTCCCAACAACAACAAAAAGCCCTGGTCTGATGGCTTCACTGGAGAATTCTACCAAACATTCAGGGAACAGCTTACACCAATACTACTCAAACTATTTCAGAGTATAGGAAAGGGAGGAATACTCCCAAATTCAATCTATGAAGCCAACATATCCCTGATACCAAAGCCAGGCAAAGATATCACCAAAAAAAAAAAAAAATTACAGACCAGTATTCCTCATGAATACAGATGCAAAAATTCTCAACAAAAATCCTAGCCAGTAGAATTCAACAGCATATCAAAACATCGTGACCAAGTGGAATTCATACCGGGTATGCAAGGATGGTTCAACGTTAGAAAATCAACCAGTGTAATCCACCACATACATAAAACAAAACAATCATGATCATCTCAATCAATGCTGAAAAGGCATTTGATAAAGTCCAGCACCTGTTCCTGATAAAAACTCTTGGCAAAATAGGAGTAGAAGGGAAATTCCTCAACATAATAAAATACATTTGTACAAAACCAACAGCCAACATTATTTTCAATGGAGAGAGACTGAAAACATTCCCCTTGAGAATAGGAACCTGACAAGGATGCCCTTTATCACCACTCTTATTCAACATTGTGCTGGAAGTCCTAGCTAGAGCAGTGAGTCAAGAAAACGGAATAAAGAGCATCCAAATTGGTAAGGAAGAAGTAAAACTATCCTTACTCACAGATGATATGATCCTATACATAGAAAACCCTAAAGACTTCACAAGAAAGCTACTGGAACTAATAGAAGGATTCATCAAATTAGCTGGATACAAGATCAGCGTACAAAAATCAGTTGGATTCCTTTACATCAACAAAGAGAACTTTGGAAAGGAAATTAGGAAAACAATACCATTTGCTATAGCCCCCAAAAGGTAAAATACTTAGGAATAAATCTAACCAGGGACATAAAAGCTTATACAAAGAAAACTACAAAACACTACTGTAAGAAGGCGAAAGAGACCTACATAAATAGAAAAAACGTTTATGGATAGGAAGACTCAGCATTGTGAAAATGTCAATCCTACCCAAAGAGATCTACAGATGTAGTGCAGTCCTGATCCAAATACTAACAGCATTCTTTAACGAGATGAAAAAACTAATCACCAACTTTATATGGAAAGGAAAGAGGCCCTGGGTAGGTAAAGCACTGTTGAAGAAGGCAGAGAGGAGGTCTTAAACACTACCTGATCTCAGAACCTACTCTACAGCCACAATAGTCAAAACAGCCTGGTACTGGTACAATGACAGACACATAGACCAGTGGAACAGAATTGAGAACGCAGGCGTAATTCCATCCACTTATGGTCAGCTGATCTTTGACAAAGGGCCAAAGTCCATTAAACTGGGAAAAGACAGTCTCTTTAACAAATGGTGCTGGAAAAACTGGGTGTTCATCTGTAAAAAAAAAGTGTGAAACAGGACCCAAACCTAACAGCATACACAAAAACTAACTCAAAATGGATCAAAGACCTAAATATAAAACCCAAAACTGTAAAGATCATGGAAGAAAAAATAGGAACAATGCTAGGGGCCCTAATATATGGCTAAGTAGAATACCAAACATAGCTAAAAATGCAGAAACAGCAGAAGGTGAACTAGATAAATGGGGCCTTCTAAAAATTAAACACTTAACGCTTATCAAAAGACTTCTCCAAAAGAGTAAAAAGAACCTACAGACTGGGGAAAAAAAAAACTGGCTACGATATATCCAACAAGGATCTAATCTCTAAAATTTATAGAAAACTTCAGCACCTCAACAAAAAGACAATATAGTCATTCATTTTTAATTGATTCTTTTTTTTTTCCCCATAATAATTTAAGGAAAGACACAGAATCCTGGGTGCTGTGATTGGTTGGCATTTACACAGGTCATTCATATAGGATTGAACAAAAGGTGAAATGGAATATACATAAATTTAATCTATAAGGCAATCAGAAAGACAATTCTTTTATGCACATTCTTGTCAGCATTTTATGATGCCCATTCTGCAACTGTAATTTATCTGTGTATCTGTCAAAAGATGTAAGGCTATATTCAATAATGAGGATAGCAGGAATTTGAGACTTCATGTACATTTCTGTTTGTTACAGAAAGGTCAACCTTTTGAAAAGGATAGAAATTAACATTTCTCCAGAATTGTGTTTCCCTTCATTTGAGGTTATCTCTTAATTCCAGCATTTTACTGTGTTTGATAAACAGGCCAAATATACATTTTATTTATTTTGAAGGGGAAAGGTGATGAAACTTTACAAATATCAACTGGCATTGCACTCTGTTGATAAGAATGAGAGTTTTACTGCTCTGAAGAGATTACATGAAGTAGAATTGGAAAGCAAATTGTATTTACAAAAGATAGGATGATGTTCCTCATAGGTGTTCAGAATAGACTGTTCACTTTCATATTTTGCTGAGCTTTACTAGAAATAACATCATTTCAAAAAAGGACAAATCTGATTGAAGGTAAAAGCATTCCCTCTCCACAGATTCTCCTCTGAAGGGTTTACATTAACTTTCCTGATGGGCACACGGCAGTATTTTATGCTGTATCTGTATAAACTGGTAATGTGGAAAATAAAAATCTAAATAGTGTACTTGATTGCTTCATGCACCAACCACTTAGATTGCTAGATTTATATCTATAATTTTGGAAGAGATATTGCAATATGATGTTCTCACAATAACTATCAAAGTCATAATGCTGGGATGTATTTTCATCTTGTTGTTGAGATAAAGTTATTGAAATTCACAGTTGGTAGGTCAGAAGGATCACTTACTATCTTTTGTCATCTGTGGTTTAATGCTGACCTGAACAGCTACTGTATAATGTCAAAATTATCGGTGTGCAGGCTCTGGAAATATAACATGCTACATGATTCAATGCATTTCCTGTCTGGAATGAGGATTACGAAAAGGCCAACGACTGTGAGCTATGGTGGTTTGGAAGATGCATAATTTCTAATTTTTCCTTTTTCTTTTTCCTCATTCATTTTAGATTTTGGATTTAGTAAAGGGGACACATTACCAGGTAGCATGTCAGAAGTACTTCGAGATGATTCATAATGTAAGTAAATTTTTTAACTTTATAGCCTAATTCTTTGTATTTTGTTACTTTGTCTTTCGCTGAAGAATCTTAGTTTCATCAATAGAAATGACTGATTATTTTCAGCAGAAAGGGATTTATTACACAGTATTAGGTAGCTTATAAAATTTATAGAAGGGCCAGAGAACCAAACTTGAATGCTTCAAAACCAGGAATATTATAACTACGAGAAACTACATCATGAGAAAACCTTACTTGACTGCAGCTGCCACCCACCACTCCACTCCTAGGGACCAGATCAAGAATTGGCAAACTTTTTCTGTAAAGAGCCAGATTGTAAATATTTTAGACTTTGTGGGCCATCTGTGTCACAACTAGTCACGTCTGCCATTGTAACTCAAAAGCAGCCATAGACAATATGTAAATAAATGGCTGTGGCTGTGTTTCAATAGAACTTTACTTATAAAAAGGCAAGATTTGGCCCACTGGCCTTAGTTTGGCAGCCTCTGGACTAGATTTACAGTCTTTGCCACAGCTGCCCCAGGGGAACTTTTGTCATCTTGCTTGCAGAAAATCCAGTCCTTCTACTTGTGACTGTCACCTCATGTTGCTCTAATCTATTTTCCAAGTCCCATATTTATCTGCTTGGTAGAACCTAGGTTATATATGTGGACCCCTAACTGCAAGAGAATCAGAGAAATGTGGTTTTTATCTTGCCAGCCTCCTTAGTATAAGAAGGCCTACTAGAAAGTTATTAGAGTGGGTATGGAATGGCCTAGTCTGTCAGAGTTCTGAAAGCAGGTCACAAACTCAGAGGCCAACAGAGGTCAAACAAATAACCCACAAGAGTGAAGCTGGCTGAGATTAAGACCAGGGAGTATGGTTAAGAACTGTGGTGCACTGGAGAACTCTTGCCCTGTTAGAGTCATTCACATTGACAAAATTTAAGATACAGACTACATCTGTAGATCAAATTCAACCCATGGGCCTCCAGTTTACAACCAGTGATCTTGAGCATGGATTCCTAACCTGGGCAGACATCCAAGAAAGGACTTTGGAGGTCCATGCACCCCTTGAAACATTTTGTCTGTGAGTACATATGTGTATTTTTCTGGAGTCCATGGTATTTATCAGGTTTCAAAGGGATCCATGACCCTCCCAAAAAGATGTTGAATTTATTGCATTCATCATCATCTGACATGCCATGTTAATGTATTTAGTTTTCCTGAAATGATTTTTTTATTATGATGATATATATCAGAACTTTTTACTTGATAAATCATTTCTTAGAATATATTCTATAATGATACCAATAATAATGAAAATAATAATACCAGCAAAAGTCTAATGCATGTTAGGCACACAGCACTAAGTACTTTGACTGAATACGTTGGCTCCTTTGACCCACATTACAGCACTACAGCTAGGTACTAGTTTTATCCCTGTTTATGAATAAAGCTTACAGAAGCTGAGTAACATGTACAAGATCAGACTGCTTGTAGGAGGATGGAACTTGGATTTGAACACAGGCCATCTAACTTATCTAAAGCTTGTAAGCCTAACCATGAGTATGCTTGTTGAATAGTAATCTGGTACTGAATTTGTAATCACCACTTCTGAGGTCATTCGTATTTTCTTGCCTAGATTCATACAATAATAAGCATAGAGGGACTTTTGAAGTCATCTGCTTCAACTTTCATAGGTTATGTATGAAGAAATTGAGGCTAAGAGATTCTAAGTGACTTGCCCAAGGTACCACTGCTGTTAATGGGATAGCTGGAGTTAGAACCCTCATCTGTTGTGCTTTTTAGAGGATGCTAGTCATCTTTCGACTGCACCTAACTTTTGAAAATATTATCCTCATTTAAAAACATGGACTTTATTTTTACAAAATTTAAAGGCAAGTAACAACAAAATTTTATTGGTTTTATCAGAATAGGAATTTCACCACATAAGACACACATTAGGTATTTTTAGCACCATTTTGCATGATTCTTCCTTGAAGACTTGATTCCTTAATTTGCTCGCTCAGTTTGAGAGTTTTAATTTCATATATGTTCTTAATTATTTGTGGACTCAATTAACAGGCCTCAGAACTTTCAAGAATTGAAGTCAGATCCAACCCTTTATTTTTTTTTTTAATAAGATCTGAAAATTAGATTTAAAAAATTTAGGTTGTGACATAATCACTAAAAAATAAGGAGTATATTTTTTTTAGTTTTCAAATCTGCTTTTGTAGTCTGTCTCTCCTCCTGATTATTCCCATAAGAACATTGCTGCTATTGCCAATTTTTAAAACTTGCCTTATATTAATGAAGATATTGAAAAGACACGTATCTGTATCCTCCCATATGCAGAAATAGTGTAACTTAAACTTCATGTAAATCAGTGCTGTAAAGCTTTTTGTATTCACTAGATGTCCCATTATAGATTTTTAAATGTGAATATCTCTTTTCCCCTGTTATTTCTTCTACTTTAATTTAATAATGCGATCTATTTTTATTGTCCTGTTTCTGCCTACCTCCCCATTCTGCCTCTCAAAAAAAGCCCTATGTTTATTTTCCTGAGCCCTCTCATCAAATCACTCTTAAATGAAAGTTTTGAAAATGAACCAGTTAATTGATACCATTTGCAGCAGCACTATGATAGTTCCATATGGCTTTTTTGGTAATACCAGCTGCCTCATTATAAGCTGTCATTGCAAAACTTCTTGATTAAAACCCAAGGATCCCATAGGTAAAACAATATTGCTTCCATTCCTTCAAAAATCTACATTTGCTGTGGCAGAAATGTGAGACCCTGTTCCTCTAGATTCCAACTATACTGATCTTGTTTCAGATCCTTTGCAGTACTTTGGAACTTCCAAGCTAATGTTGCAAAATGAAAATGCATTGCAGAATTTTCTTCTCCCAGTACTTAACAAAATGGGCAAAACATAGTAAAATATCGTTAACCACACACACACACACACACACACACACACACACACACACACAAACACATGACCAATAACAAGTAAACAAGAAATGGGGAAAGGAAAGAAACAGGAGAGTCACAGCAGACAAAATCATGAGACCCGTGTTTCTGTAAAGGTCATTGTGTGCAAAATATGTTGATTCCAAGCAAATGTTTAAGAGAGAATCATTTAGTAGATGTCAAAAGCTGGCCTGCTTGAAACCTGTTTACCTCAGTATTTTTAGGGAGCAGTGTTTAAAATAATTGTATCCTGTGTTTTTTACTTTCTGCATGCTCCATGTATAAATGAAAACAATTGTGTAAGTTAGTCTCTGAATTTTAATTGAAAGTAATTTTTTTTTTTTTATAGAAATAGACTTCTTTGGGCACTGAGTCATTCTGGATACTATTTACCAAATAGTTGAAGATAATTTTTTTCCCCACCAGATAAAATTCTTCAGAAATTTTGTTAAAACATATCACGCATTCTCCTGCAATCTTAAAGAGGATATACTAAATATAATTAAGCCTTTTTATAATAACAGAGGTTCATCATTATGGATATCAATTAGAATACTGGGCTAGAAGCCACCGTCATCTCTCGCCTGGATCAGTGCAGTAGCTTTCTAACTCATTTCCCAGCATCTACACATGCCCCATTCCAATTTTTCTACTCCACACTGCTGCTGGAGTGAATGATCAGGTTCCCCTATTTAAAGGATCGTGAGATTTCTCACTTAATATTCTGGAATGAAATAAACTAAGCATTCTTACCTTTTTATTTTGATAAAGTGAGGAGTAAGCCCCTTGTGTCTATCAGTTTGTTGTACTGTGGTGGAATGTACGAAGTATGAATCTAGGAAGATTGGAAGCGGTCAAAAATGAAATGGAACACATAAACATCAAAGTCCTAGATATTAGTGAGCTGAAATGGACTGGTATTGGTCATTTTGTAATTTGACAATCATATTGTATACTGTGCCAGGAATGACAAATTGAAAAGGAATGACATTGCATTCATTGTCAAAGAGAACATTTCAAGCTCTATCCTGAAGTACAATGCTGTCAGTGATAGGATACGCCTACAAGGGAGACCGGTTAATGCGACTGTTCAAATTTATGTACCAACCACTAAGGCCAAAGATGAAGAAATTGAAGATTTTTACCAACTTCTGCAGTCTGAAGTTGATCAAACATGCAATCAAGATGCATTGATAATTACTAGTGATTGGAATGCAAAAGCTGGAAACAAAGAAGAAGGATTGGTAGTTGCAAAACATGGCCTTGGTAATAGAAACGATGCTGGAGATCACATGATGGAATTTTGCAAGAAACGATGCTGGAGATCACATGATGGAATTTTGCAAGACCAACGACTTCTTTATTGCAAATACACTTTTTAAACAACATAAACGGTAGGTGTACACGTGGACCTCACCAGATGGAATGCACAGGAATCAAATTGACTACATCTGTGGAAATAGACGATGGAGAAGCTCGATATCATCAGTCACAACAAGGCCAGGAGCTGACTGCGGAACACACCATCAGGTGCTCCTATGCACATGCAAGTTGAAGCTAAAGAAAATTAGAACAAGTCTCCGAAAGCCAAAATATGATCTTGAGTATATCTCATGAATTTAGAGACCATCTTGAGAATAGATTTGATGCACTGAACACTAATGACCGAAGACCAGACAAGTTGTGGAATGACATAAAGGACCACATACATGATGAAAACAAAAAGTCGTTAGAAGGACAGGAAAGAAAGAAAAGACCAAAATGTCAGAAGAGACTCTGAAACTTGCTTGTGGATGTAGAGTAGCTAAAGCGAAGGAAGAAATGATGAAGTAAAAGAGCTAAACAGAATATTTCAAAGGGCAGCTCAAGAAAACAAAGTAAAGTATTATAATGAAATGTGCAAAAACCTGGAGTTAGAAAACCAAAAGGAAAGAACACGCTCAGCATTCCTCAAGCTGAAAGAACTGAAGAAAAAATTCAAGCCTTGAGTTGCAATATTTAGGAATTCTACAGAGAAAATAATAAACCACGCAGGAAGCATCAAA